GACCTGCCGCCGGACTTCCGTCAGAGCACCGACAAGCTGGAGAGGAACTTCATCGTGTCCGCCGTCATCTTCAAGAAGTACGTCCCCATCTTCAAATCCATCTTCAGGGCGCCGTCAGAGGAGCCGCCACGAGTGCACCGCAGCCGCAAGCAGAGGTGGGACCGTGACCTCTGACCTCACCTTCACGCTAACCGCTCAGTATTCAGTCCTTTGGTGTTTGTTGGTGTGGTCGCCAGGCGGGGGCGGGTCTGCAGTGCTGCCTGGTAACCTACGTGCGCTCTTTGTTTTGCAGACGCCACCCGTGCACCGTGACCGAGGTCTTCAACTTCTGCTGGGTGCTGTTTGTCCACGCCAAAGGTAAGCACTTCCTGTTTAATGATGTCAGAGAAGTCCGTCACAGCGCCCCTGGTGCAAACAACAGCTCGTCACAGACAGGCGGAGTTTTCCTTCCCGCTGTCGCTCACGTGCGCGCTGTTTCTGTGTTATTGTCGGGAGCTGCAGAAATGGGATAATCAATAATCAGACGCTTCAATCTCTTCTGCGTCCCAGCTGTCACTCAGCTGGAACGCCAGGTCTCGGCGTGCGGCTCACTTCCTGCTCTCGGCTCTGGTTCTGCTCATGCACGCTAACGAGTCCAGTTTTTCCTCGATGACGTTTCTGCTTCTTCTTTCAGGGAACTTCCCGATGATCAGCGACGACCTGGTGAACTCGTACCACCTGCTGCTGTGCGCCCTCGACCTCGTCTTCACCAACGCCCTGCTGTGCAACGCCAGGAAGGACCTGCTGAACCCCGAGTTCAAAGGTGGCGTCCTGAGTACACATCGTTCCTGCCTCTGTTAACAGACGTGTGGTCCGCGCTCGGTTCAGGGTTTGGTTGCTATAGTAACGTCTCCGATTCTTTGAATCAATCATGTCGGCTGCAGAGGAAGCCTGCTTATCGCTCACCTGCAGCGTTGCGTCACACCTCAAATAAATCAAAGGTGGAGCCGGCAGCAGGCTGTGTCAGCGCTGCACTCACTTCCTGTCAGGTTTCCTGTGCGCCCCCGTGAGGCCCCGAAACACCACGTGATCCCGTCAGGCACAACCTGGAGCTGAGCGAGGTCAGACTCGGGGAGCTCGCCTGCTTCGTTAAACGTCCACGAGCGGCGTTTCAGCATGAAACTAACATTTAAAGAAAGGTGCGCGTTTAGCCCGCGGTTCAGCCCGCTCAGGTGACACGAGACTGAAGGTTTGGGTTAAATACCTGCTGCAGGTATGAAAGGAACTTCCTGTTAAACAGGAAGAAGGTCGTGCTGACTGAACTGGATTCTGGATTCTTATCCTGGGATTGAATCAGCTGCAGTGAACCAGGAGCTGAACAATATTATCAACGCGACTGAGGAGGCGGAGCCTCCTGGGGCCGCTGTGGGGTTAACACACGAGGAATGAAAGTTTCAATGATGTTATCATTAAAAATAAGTTTGTGTGTTGTCATGTCTCCATGGTAACGCTGTCTCTCCGGCCCACAGGCCTTCCTGAGGACTTCGGCACCAAGGACTTCCGGCCGGCCTCGGGCCCGTTCTGCTTCATGGAGCAGCTGTGCCGGCTGCACGACGGCCTGGTGCTGGAGGCCAAAGGGGTCAAAGAGCACTTCTGGAAACCCTTCATCAAGAAGCTCTTCCACAAGAGGGTGAGCCACCTCCTCCCACACCTGAGCAGGTGAACACACCTGAGCAGGTGCCGGCCTCGAGAGCCTCGGCGAGGTCTCTGTTGGTTTGCAGCCACTCCACGGGGTAACAGAATGACGGGCGTGTGTTTCACTCGCGGCGTTAGTGAGGCTGTTGGAAAACTGCATGTTAGTGATCTGGGCTAAAGCAGAGGGGTCAAACATGAGGCCCGGGGGCCAGAATCAGCCCAGCAAAGACTATGGTCCGGGCCACAGCACAGCCGGAGCAGCTTGGGACTGAGAACTGAGACTGAGTGTGAGCCCGTGTTGAACACGTGTCAGGATGCAGTAAAGCGAGCGCGTCTTTAACGTGTTGGCTGTTCGTCTGCAGAGCTCTGCTGATAAATCACATCAAACATCAGAAATCATTTAAAGTTTTATACGATTAAATGTAAATGACTAATAGTATGACGGTGGTTGGTTTGGTCACATAGCGCAGGTGCTTCGTACCTGCACAGGTAGGAACCATGTTGGCGTTACACTGAACTTCCTGTCGTGTTCGTTGGCAGATTCTCCGAGGAAAGGAGGACAGTCTGACCGGCTTCCTGGACCCCATGAACTTTGGAGACAGTCTGTAAGTCTGTGTTGGTTAGTTGGTGCTGTTTATCTGTAGCAGGGGGTAAACTAAAGACCCACGTGTTTCTGACTCCGCCCCCTGGATGTGGACGCCGCTGACTGCCCTCTGCTCTGATTCGCCCTCAGTTTGGCGCTCAGCCGCCTGTACGAGGAGCACGTTTTGGCCACGGGCAGCCTGGACGAGAGGATCTTCACCGGCGAGGGAGCGAGCGAGGACATTGGCACCCCGGGGCCCTGCCTGTGCGAGGGGGCGGAGAACCAGAACAGCGCCACCTTCAGGCTCCACACCAGCCTCGCTGTAAGACCTGACCTTGCCTCTTTTACGCTCTCTGATTGGTCTGCTTCCCACCTTGCTAACATGCCACCTCTCCCCCCCCCCAGGCCTCGGCTCTGAAAGTCTCCACCCCACTGACGGGCAGGAAGTACGTGCAGGAGGGCAGCCTGGCGTCTCCGCTCTCCTCCGCCATGAAGAGCGTGGGGCGTCTCCACACGCTGCTGTCGGGCACCAAGCAGGGGCCGAGCGCCAAGCTGGCCGAGACGCTCAGGTACGTGTCAGCGTGTCTGACGTCGTCTTTATCTCTGACCCTTTCAACACGCCTGCTCTCGTTTCGCGCAGGAGCTGCGCCAGAGACCCGAGCAACGCCATCAGCCGGCGCCTGAACGACATGTTCGACGTCTTCTCCCAGCACTACGAGGACGGCGCCACAGATGGGGGCAGGGCCATGGGCAAAGGTATGCACGTAGCCTCGCATCACTGCACACGAGCGACTTCCTGCTGTGACCGAGTAATGTTTGTCCTCGCAGACATGGCGGTGAAGTACTTCCACCTGGCAGAGGCGCTCTACTACAGGATCCTGGAGTCAGTCATCGAGAGAGAGAAGATGATTCTGGGCGACGCCGACCTGTCTGTGAGGGAAAAACACTTATTTCTATTTTCAGAGCAACTTTGCATGAGTCACAGATCAGAATAATCCTTCTTTATGTCAGCCTCCATCACTGCTTCATCTGCTTCCTGTTTGAATCTGCTCGTTCAGATGAGCTCCTCGGTGCACACTTACAGTTTTTCTCTGATTATCTCACATGCAGCCGTGTACTGATAAAGTCATCTTATAAAGTGTGTGTGTGTGTGTGTTGCAGTGTATTCTGGAGCAGGATATCTTCCACCGCTCTCTGCTCGCCTGCTGCTTGGAGATCGTCATCTTCTCCTA